GTGGCTTAGGGCTGTGCCTTGCTATTTAAGCTAGTGTAATTCCTTAGAAAGCCAAATTCAAAGTTCACCAAAATAAAACACCAGGAAGCAGGTATTCAAAAGCAGTTGGGTGGGATAAAGGGGAAAATGGTAGAAGAGGATAAAAGGGGAAAATGCAGACAAGAATCCAATGTATATCTTACAAAGGAGTGGGTTGGGGAGGGATGGGTGAGGACCTTGAAAGGGGTAGCCGCTGATCAAGACACATTGTATTCATAAACTGCTTTGTTAAATGGCAATTCCTTTGTACAACTAGTTAAAGATAATAAAAAGTTAAAAACAATTTCAGTGCATTGAATGACAGTCTGAAAACTTCAAGTAGTTTTGTGGTCCAACAAGAAGGACTAGGATTCAATAACTTGGTCCTAGAAGTGGTTCTATTAACAGTGATGTGATCTTGGGCAATTCTGATTCTTTAGGCAAACAGCTTTGATAACACTTGATCTTATCTATTTTATAGGGCTACTGTGGAGGATGATAGATTAAATTATGCCTGTGAAAACATTCTGAAAATGCAGAGAAGTTAAAAACATATACTAAGTCTTCATTTGTAATACTTAATTAAACATCTGAGCTCATTTTTGCTCTCCAACAGTTGGCCAGGGCTAAAGATTTCCCATGTGGTAATTAGTGATAAACCCTTACCTACAGATTATTACTGACGTCGTGACCAATGTTTATTTATTTTTGGCCAGTTCCAGGGCTTGAACTCAGGGCCTGGGCACTGTCCCTGAGCTTCTTTTGCTCAAGGCTACCATGTGAGCCACAGCACCACTTCTGACTTTACTGCTTATGTGGTACTGAGGTATCAAACCCAGAGCTTCATGCATGCTAGGCAAACAATAGAGCACCAAGCCACATTCCCAGCCCCAATGGTTTTTTGTTTGTTTTTTAAGATTCACTTTTCCCATTCTTTCAAATTAGCATAGCAACATCACATATACCAACCATCTGGTAGAGACACTTAAAATTAGAAAACTGGTTAAACCAACCATGTTTCTCACTTGGTGACAAGCAGAAAAATGGACTAAGGGAGATCTACAAGTCCACATAGCATCCATGGGATAAGCTTTAATATTGAACCACCTTCCCCTACATTCCATGTGTCACACTGTTCTAAGAAGGGGGTTCCCAGTTTTTCAAAGTGATTTGGAATTCTGTACATGTTAAGAGCATGAGCTAGAAGACAGACTTAAGCAGAGTTTGAGGTATAGCTTATGGAATAGGACTTGCTGGTCTAGCATGCATAAGACCCAGAGTTCTACCCAGTACCATGCACATACACTGAAGGAAGGAAAGATACATGCTAGAGTTCTGAAGATAAAGTGAGTCAGATACTTTTCCTTCTCTTTGATGCTTGTTTACATGATTTTTTTTTTTTTTTTTGGGTCCGGTCATGAGGCCTGACCTCTAGGCCTGGGCGCTGTCCCTCAGCTCTTCAGCACAAAGCTAGCGCTCTACTACTTGAGCCACAGCGCCACTTCCAGCTTTTTTTTCTTTTTGCTTATGTGGTGCTGAGGAATCGAACCCAGGGCCTCATGCATGCAAGGCAAGCGCTCTACCACTGAGCCACCTTCCCAGCCCTCTCTATTCTCTTATATAATAATAATTGTCAAGGATTTCTTCAGAGAAGTTCTTGAGGCCTAGTAGGAGAAACACAGCTAGGTTCAAAAGTGACATACTTGTCCATCTTAAATAAAAATGGAGGCATACTTACCCCTTTACCTATATTTCTAACACAAAACAGAAGCACTTTCAGCATCCAGGAATAACTCCATGTTAACACATTAGATAGAAGCAAACAGACCTAGCAGTTCAGCAGAGACTGCTACTGCACATGATGGAGACAATATAGCCATTAGGTGCCCTAGGTTAATTCCTCTTCCTTTTGTGAAGGTGACTTTCAGGAATCTTTACCTAACTGAATACTCAAAAACCTGTGTCCCCAAACTAGGGTGAAGCCACTGAATATTATTTTAAAAAATCAGTACACTGGGCACTGGTGGTTTACGTCTATAATACAACCTACTTAAAAGGCTGAGATCTGGAGGAGCTCAGTTCAAAGACAACTCTACTAGAAAAGTCCGTGAGACTTCATCTTCAAGATAAGCAGCAAGGCAGCATGGTACTGGCACAAAAACAGATCCGAAGACCAATGGAATAGAATAGAAGATCCAGAAATAAACCCACAGGCCTACAGTCAGCTGATATTTGACAAAGAAGCCAAAGACATACAATGGAAGAAACACAGCCTCTTCAACCACTGGTGCTGGGAAAACTAAAAGTGGACCCCAGCCTATCACCATGCACCAACATCAACTCAAAATGGATTAAAGACCTTAACATTAAACCTGAATCTCTGAAACTACTGCAGGACAGAGTAGGAGAGACACTTGAACTTACAGGCACAGGAAGGAACTTCCTGAACAGAGTCCCAGGGTCACAACAAATTGGAGAGAGACTCGACAAATGGGACTACCTTAAAATAAAAAGCTTCTGCACAGCTAAATCTATTGCAACCAAGCTAGAAAGACAGCCAACTAATTGGGAAAAAATATTTACCAGCAATATATCAGACAAGGGGTTAATATCCAGTATATACAGGGAACTCAAGAAACTAATCCCTCCTAAACCTAACAAACCAATTACTAAATGGGCAAGGGAACTAAAGACTTCTCAGATGAAGAAATAAAAATGGCAAAGAAACACAGGAGGAAATGTTCATCATCCTTGGTTGTGAAGGAAATGCAAATAAAGACAACCCTGAGATACCACCTTACCCACAAGTCAGCCAATGACAAATGCTGGAGGGGATGTGGAGAAAGAGGAACCCTATTACACTGCTGGTGGGAATGTACACTTAAACAACCACTTTGGAAAGCAGTCTGGAGGGTCCTTAGAAAGCTAAAGATTGACCTCTCTTATGACCCAGTCATACCACTTCTAGGCATCTACCCTGAACAACAGGAACCAATATACAAGGACACGTGCACCTCCATGTTTATTGCAGCACTGTTCACAATAGCTAGGATATGGAAACAACCCAGATGCCCCACCACAGATGAATGGATCCAAAAATTGTGGTATCTATACACAATGGAATATTATTCGGCCATTAGAAATGACAAAATAATGACATTTTCAGGGAAATGGATGGAGCTAGAAGAAATCATGTTAGGCGATGCAAGCCAAGAGCAAAGAGACAAACGGCACATGGTCTCCCTGATAAGTGGATGTTAAATCCAAAATGTTAGATGATATGACAAAATTAACAGGACTTAAGAAACAAAGAACTCCCGCTCATCTGGTCGAACCACTACTAAATAATCCCATGCTGCTGATCACATGTATGGTGTATATGTGTACACCGTTATATGCTATAGACCGTGATAGACAATTTGCTCCAGGAAAGTCAGAATGTGTTTGTGACTTTAACTGAGTATCACTATCCCACAATACTGTGAAATTTGGGAAGTTATGTAATCACTTAATCACAATAAGAAAAATTTTTAAAAAAAGATAAGCAGCAATATGCTAGGCTGAAGATGTGGCTTGGGTGGCTGAGTGACAGCCAAATTAAGTGGGAGGCCTTGAATTCAAATTGGTATCAGAAAAAAAAAAAGCCCAAGATTTGAAGGGCTTCAGTTACTAATTGTTGATCTGACTTTAATAGCCCTTTATGTGTGACAAAATTCGGCCATTTTTCTCTTCTGCTTTGGTTTTAACTTTCTTTTTTTGATTTGTTGTGGGGCTTGATCTCAGGGCCTGGGTGCTGTCCCTGAGTTCTTTAGCTCAAGGATAGCACGCTACCACTTTGAGTCACAGCTCCACTTCCAGTTGAGTAGCTAATTGGAGATACGAGACTCATGGGGACTTTTCTATCTGGGGTTGGCTTCCAACCATGATCCTCAGATCTCAGCTTCCTGAGTAGTCAGAATGAGTCACTGGCACCTGGCACTGCTTTTTTTTTGGGGGGGGGGGGGGAGAGGGGGGTGTTGGTTGTGGGGCCTAACTCTGGGCCTGGGCGCTGTCCCGGAGCTCTTCAGCTCAAGGCAAGCGTTTTACCACTTGAGCCACAGCGTCACTTCCGGTTTTCTGGTGGTTAACTGGCGATAAAAGTCTCATGGACCTTTCCTGGCCGAGCTGGCTTTGAACCACGATCCTCAGATCTCAGCCTCCTGAGTAGCTAGGATTACAGGTGTGAGCCATCAGTGCCTGGCTTGCTTTTGTTTTCTTACCATACACTTTTCTTTCTTTCTTTCCTTTCTTTCTTTCTCTCTCTTTCTTTCTTTCCTCCTTTCTCTCTCTCTCTCTTTGTTGGTTGTGGGGCCTGAACTCTAGTCTCAGGAGCTGTCCCTCAGCTCTTCAGCTCAAGGCTAGCGCTCTATTACTTTTGCCACAGTGCCACTCCCAGCCTCTTCTGCTTATGTGGTACTGAGGAATCGAACCCAGGGCCTCATGCATGCAAGACAAGCACTCTACTACTGAGCCACCTTCCTAGCCCAATGCACTTTTTTCTTATTGTCCCAAGTTTGGGTGCCAAAAGAACAGCTATTTTAGCTACCTATTCAGACTAGCTGCACAGAATGCTATCTAATCATTTGATCTCCCCACATTGTGATTTCACAAAACTTGTCTAATTGTCAATGTATTGCTGATGAGCACATTTTGCTTCTGTATGTTTTTTAAAGCAGCCATGTTTAATATTATGAAATATTATCTGTCTGCTCCTTTCCCCACCCTCTAGAGCAGTGATAAATTTGAGAGCATGCTCAGCAGAATCTGATTATATTATGCACAGTACACATGTTCATCACCAAAACTGTACTACTCAGAATGTATGCATGTACAATGAATTGCTGAGACTTCAAAATTCCAGTTCCTCAGAACCAATTTTATTAGTCAATGCATACCAAAGATAGGTGGTAAAAGAAGTATTAGTTTTACAGGTTTTCTTTCCCCCATCCCTAAATCCCTCTCCTATCATAGACCGTGATCTTTCAGTCTTTTGATTAAGCCTTGCTAGCTGTGTGCCGCTGCAGCACCAAAGAAACTGCTTTGCAGCCTGTCACCTCTTCTGGGAGACAGCCATCTTGGTCTCGGAGAGTGGGGTCAGCGCCAGATTGGAGCAGCAGCTCCACAATATCCAAAAATTCACAGGCAGCAGCTGTAAGGAAAATCGACAAATACAAAGAAAAGTTTACAGTGAGACAGAGAAATGACTTCACTTGAGCAGGGAAGGCAAGTGGTGAGCAATAAAGATCACTGAACAGTGAGCAGCTAGCAGTACCTTAAGGATGATCAGGCCTTGTAATGTTAACTGTGGCTCATTACTGGATTTTGAAATCTTTCAAAAATCAAATATACCTTTTTGGTTGCTTAAAAAAATATATATCAGGGCTGGGAAGGTGGCTCAGTGATAGAGTGCTTGCCTCACATGCATGAGGCCCTGGGTTCAATTCCTCAGCACCACATAAGCAGAAGGCCAGAAGTGGTGCTCTGGCTCAAGTAGTAGAGTACTAGCCTTAACCTGAAGAGCTGAGGGATAGCGCCTAGGCCCAGAGTTCAGGCCTCATGACCACCCCCCCCCCCCAATATACATTATACATACACATTCATATATATATATAACTTGTGAGGACTGTTGACTATTCTTTAAGGCTAGAACAATGGCAAAGAATAAAAAATACATCACCTAAGTATATTTTATGTTGATTTTTATTTCAGAATGATAGGTGTGCTTGCCATGTCAAAAGGCTACATGTGTTTTATTATTTATTACTATTATTTCATTATTTATTTTATTATTTTATTTCATTATATTAATGTTTATTTATATCATTTATTTGTCTTTTAAGATGGAGTAAATGTTTTACTAACAGAACTTTAAAATGAATATACAGGGGAAAAAGCTGGTCTAGTCATTGGACCCACTGCTCTGTAAAACTTTAATAAAGTAGAAATGTTACCACTGACAAGTCTAAGACAGAAGGAAGGGAAAATGGCTTGTAGATATTAAGACTTATTACAAAGGTGGATGGCATTCCACTGAATGGACAAACAGACTAAATGATAGGGCAGAGAAGTATCTATTCTGCATAACCATAAGACTTTGACTATGACAAATCTGTCATCAATCACTGAGGAAACAAAGGCCTAATAATCAGATAGGCTGAAAAGGCAAAAAAAATACATTTCACACAAAATTAAACATAAATGGTAAAAGGTTAAAAAATGAGTACTTTACTAATCAAATAAATGAAAATTAAAACTATGAGATACCATTTCATACCCAACTAAATCTGTTGAAACCTTTGAAACCAAGTTTGTTTTTTTTTTTTGTTTCTGTTTTTGTCAGTTGTGGGGCACTGTCCCTGAGCCTCTTTGTGCTCAAGGCTAGTGTTCTACCACTTGAGCTACAGCACCACTTCCTGAAACCTTTGATAATGGGAAATATTGAGGAAGCCTACAGCAAGGGAAACTCCCATTCAGATTCCTACAGTACACACTGAGGTACAGTTACTTTGGACAGCAACTTGGCATTGAACATTAAACTTAAACAAACACATCATGAAACTCTGAGTTTTATGCTCCACAGAACCTTTGCATAAGCTTTCCAAGAGAAAGCTGTAATAGACCACAAATGTAAACATCCCAAATGCTCACAAATGGTAGTAACAGGTAGAAATAAAACACTGCTTACTTGTATAGAGAAATCCCATACAATATTGAAAACTAATGAACTTCACAGGTTTATCTCTAAAATAAAATGTTGAAGGAAAAAAGCAAGTCAGGACAATACATTTAGTATGATTCTATTTAAAGAATAGATAGGCGAAGGAGGAAACTGAGAAAAAGCATTTGGCCTTTCAATGTTAAAGATCACATTAGCTGTGATTTCCTCATGATGACCAAGTTCCTGATATTCCTGTTTTGCTGTGTTGTTTTAACCAAAGGGAGGTTGAATTTTATCAACAGCTTTTTCTACAAACATTGAAGTGATTTTTTTGTTCTTTATTTTTTAATAGGTTGATATGGTATAATACAATAATTTTCAACTGCCATGTCTACATGCATTCTAATTCTACACTTATTTGATCATAATTATTGTCTTTCTTATAACTGGCTGAGGTCTAATTGCTAATAACTTACTAAAGATTTCTTCATCTATGTTCATATAGGATATTAACCTATAACTTTTTTAATATATATTTTTATTGTAAAGATACTGTACAAAGGGGTTACAGTTACATGAGTAAGATAATGAATACACTTCATTTGAGCAAGCTTTTTTTTTGGGGGGGTTGGTCGGGGGGCTTGAACTCTGGGCCTGAGCGCTGTCCCTCAGCTCTTCAGCTCAAGGCTAGCATTCTACGACTTGAGCTACAACACCACTTCCAATTTTCTGGTGGTTTATTGGAGATCAGAGTTTCCCAGACTTTCCTGCCCCGACTGGCTTTGAACTGCGGTCCTCAGATCTCAGCCTCCTGAGTAGCTAGGATTACAGGTGTGAGCCACTGGAGCCCAGCAAGCTTTCTTTTTCTTTAATGCTTTTTCCTTGTATGGTATCAAGGTAATTCTAGCTTTATATTGGAAAATGTTCTTTCTTCTTTAAACATTTAATAGAACTCACCATCAGAAACAACTGAAACTTGCAGATGTTACTGTGGGAATTTTGAATAACCAAATCAATCTCTGCAACAGATACAGGGCCATCCAGATTTCTTTTTCTTTTTTGAGAGAGGACTTTGATAGTATATATTTTCTAAAAATGACTTTACATTTACGAAGAAGTTTTTAAAATTTTTATTTAAGACAGCTCAAATTTCTGCTTCTCTTATGGTTCAGGAGATCAGTTTTTCTTTTCTTTTTTACTTGAAATCATTTTGTACTCTTTAGCATAGGCTGTTCTATTTTCCCTGTCTATAGGAGTAGGCTATAGGAGTGTAGTACTATGCCTGGCTTGTGGAGTGTTTTTTTTTTTTTTAAATAGTCCATAGTATGGTCTACACCTCATGGAACACGATGAAAATTTGGTGTGCACTTAAAATAACATGTATTGCTTATTAGATGAAGTGTTCTATTAAAATTAAATGAAGGTATGGTCTTATGTGAATCTGTTATATCCTTGAATTTTTGTCCACTTGCTCTATAACCTGATTTCTTTTCTTCTTGTTTCCCTCCCCCCTTTTTTTTTCTAGTCCTGGGGCTTGAACTTAGGGCTGGGTACTGTCCCTGAGCTTCTTATGCTCAAGGCTAGCGCTCTACCACTTGAGCCATAGTGCCACTCCTGGCTTTTCCTGTTTATATGTGGTATTGAGGAATCGAACCCAGGGCTTCATGTATGCTAGGCAAGCACTCTACCACTAAACTACCTTCCCAGCCCTCTTTCTTTTTTTGCATTCCACTCTTTTATGTTGAATGTAGAGCAGCAGAACCTGAAGCAAATCTCTCTCTCTCTCTCTCTCTCTCTCTATATATATATATGTAGATATCTTTATACATCTATATACATACGCATACATCGTGAAGAAATCAACAGTTAATGTGATCTTTAACAGTGAAAAGCCAGGGCTGGGAAGGTGGCTCAGTGGTAGAGCGCTTGCCTTGCATGCATGAGGCCCTTGGTTCGATTCCTCAGCACCACATAAGAAAAAAGAAAAAAGCCAGAAGTGGCGCTGTGGCTCAAGTGGTAGAGCGCTAGCCTTGAGCTGAAGAGCTGAGGGACAGTGCCTAGGCCCAGAGTTCAGGCCCCACAATCGGACCCCCCCCCCCCAAAACACACACACACACACACACACACACACAAAATAACAGTGAAAGGCCAAATGCTTTTTCTCAGTTTCCTCCTTCCCCTAATGCCAAGCACCGTGGGGGGTGCAGGGGGAGAATGAGCAAGTGAGCTAGCGGACACCACTGTGGTACACTTCTCAGAGCAAGAACTTACCTGTATCCTTAACAGGTCTGGCGTAGTATAAACTCAAGTTAATTGTTTTTTTAAATCACTGTTGTTACATTGTTATTATTATTATTTTTTTGTTGTTGTTTTGCCAGTTCTGGGGCTTGATCTCTGGGCATGGGCACTGGCCCTGAGCTTCTTTTGCTCAAGGCTAGTGCTCTACTACACGCACGCGAGCACACGCGAGCGCGCGCACACATACACACACACAGAGAAAGAGAGCGAGCACACTATATACATCTATCTCCAAACAGGTCTATCTCTTCTGTCAGGACTCTAGTGTGAGTTTTCTGTCAGTACTTCATTGTGAGTTTTGGGTCAATTTAGTTACTATTTGAACTCAGCTTGGGTTTGACATTGCTATAAGTAACTTTAGGGCACCATAGTCTTCCATGCTGGCCTGGGGCCAGTGGCTCATGCCTGTAATCCGAGCTATTCAGAAGGCTGAGATCTGAGGATCTCGGTTCAAAGTCAGGCTGGGCAGGAAAGTCCGTGAGATGCTTATTTCCAACAAACCACTCAGAAAACCGCAAGAGGTGCTACAACTCAAGTGGTACAGCGCTAGCTGAAGAGCTGAGGGATAGTGCCCAGGCCCAGAGTTCAAGCCCCATGACCAAAAACAAAAAAATAAAAAAAAATTAAAAAAATTTCATGCTTGGCATAGGATCTCCATGTCAGTGTTTTTCAGTATTCTTTAACCCCTGGCTTTAGCAGTCTCTGCATGTCTGAATCACAGAGGAAATCTCTCTATGCTTCTGCTCTCTTCTATCAGTAGACTGAACACTGCTGCTTACTACTCACGGTAGGAATGAGATGTGAGTCCACACCCCCCGCCCCCACCCCCGCAATTGTACTGGTCTTAGCCTCAAAGGTGGGGATTTCTCAGTGGTTCCTCACCATTCCCCAAACATCAGGAGGGAGAGAGGGAGAAAAGGGGAGAGAGAGGAGGGCGGAGGGGGGGAGGGGGAGAGGGGAGAGGAGAGTGGTGTTTTGGGCTGGAGAGCTTTCTGCCCTGCCCCCTAGTGGCAAGAATCTTTCATCTTTGCTTTGAACCAGTAAGGTATCCTGAACCGGCTTGGGCCATGAGACAGGAAGAAAGGACAAAGGAGTTTGTTTCCTCAGTGGCTTAAGGATTTCGCCTTTGTATGTGTGAAAGACTTACAATATGGTCATTATAATTAATAATGTGCTGTATTTTTGAAAGTGAC